ACAGCGTAGGTCTACTTCATGAGGGCACATTGTCCACTTAAAACGCAATGTATGGTAGCTATAAGGGTTTAAAAGGTGAAAAGATGATCTGTGATGCGATTCATGTTTGAGTCAGAATGCAATACATACTTTTACAAATACAATATCTCATGATAACATAAGTACTGTAGTTCATGTTAAAAAAAAGGAGATGAAATAGTGGGGATACAATTATTTCACAGATACATGACAGCAAATCATAACGATCTCATTTAGGGATGGAAAATATATCAATTTATTACACGGCCTAGTGAATTCTCGTTTCTGATAGCTCAATTTGGACATTCCAGAGGTTGATAATTCTCGCTAACAGACCGTTGCTAAGGAGGACTATGTGCAGTCATATCAATCCGCATGAAAAAGCCCCCGTACCTTTAACGCCAGCTTTAGCTCCATCAGAAAACACCATGAAATACTTTTTGAGTAATCATTTTTCATATTTGTGCAGACAACAAAACTTTGGATTCATGATGGCTAAACTGTCACCAGTGAAGAAAAGAAACGGAGCGAAAGAGAGGGGAAAGTGGTTAAAAAACAGAGCTCTGGACTTCAGAAAAATCTACAGAAGAAGACAAGACAGGAAGTACACACGATATAGCATATATAAATATGCTATGAGCTCTGACATTGTTTTAAGACTGGTTAATGGAAAAGAAAATGTGAACAGACTTGGACAGTTACAGAAAACCTTGATGCTGCCGTCATTTTAAGTTACATTGCTGTCGCTGATCTCCAGCCATTGGTACGCAGTGCAATAGGAAAAAAAAAATGTCTTGGCGGAAGCAACACGATCATTTTTAAAATCAATCAAATAATTTTTGAATCAATATTGTGAATACAATCAAGGGTTTATTGTAGCCATGAAATAAGCTGGATATCAGCATCAAAGCGCTCATATATGGAAAACCATGAAGGTGTATCCCTTACATAACATTGAGATCGTTATGAATCTAGATATTGTCTTGGGTATTATGCACACCGTAATATTTGCAAGTGATGTTTTTCCTTGGCTCTTTTTAGTTTTTATGTTATTTTCCATTAACCGCATGGTCATTAAATCCACATTGCTGATCACTCTTTATAATGTAAAGGCATCAATGGTCGACCCTACAATATTGTCTCAACATATATCGAAATTGAGGTATTTGTTCGGAGATATCTGGATTCTGTTTTTTTTTTCATATCGCCCAGCATACCTCAACTTGATGCCGAACAAAAAATCTTTATAAAAGGTTTGTAAACATCGCTCTTTTCAGTCACAATAACATTGCTCCCCCATTGTTCTCCATTTCCCTGGATACATCAGATAAGGACGGTTCCGACATTGTTTCCTGGCGACAATGGTAAACACCTACACTTTGTTCAGGAAGGCATTATGTAAACGTACCATGGATGGGAACATCACTAACAAGTGTGAAAGCAGACCAGCAGGCAGAACCTTTAGGCGCTTTCACACCGGAGTACTACAAAAGTCAAAAAGGCCTGAATCTGAATCACTTAAGCGTATTCCACTTATCAAAGTGTTTTGTATCACTGCAACACTGCAAAGCCAGCTGCAGGAAACAAGCTTGGCGGGAGCAACCATGAATCAAGGCAACATGCCGGATTTAGTCGGCAGCACATTGAACACCCTAAGGTGAAAAGCAAAACAGAAATCAGCAGAAATAAATTACTTAAATATGGAAAACACCTTCTGTAGCACACACATGCCAAGAGATGCCTTCGCAAGTACGGGAAACCACAGCAGGTGGAGAGGGGGCACAGAATGTAACAAATGCAGAAATCAGCAGCGGCAGTTGGATAGACAAATGTTAAAGGGGACCTATCATGCAAAATGCACTTTTGTACGTCTTTTATACATGAATATGTGTCCCCGGTGTTCCAGGGAACTCACCAAGTGTCAGAAAACACAACCCTCTCTATTTTCCTCCATACCCAAATCTCTAAAAAAGGGGCTGCAACGGATCTGATAAAAACTGATCCAGATTTGAACACTGTCCTGACGTCAGGACAGTGGCGCTACGGCTATTGGGCCAACTCCACCAATCAGGAGGAGACAGCCACGGCCATTGCCGTTCGAAAGCGCTGGAGACGCTGTAGTACATATGCCAGGCCTGTAGGTGGTGCTGTTCTCACAGAATCAGCCCTTGCAAAAACAGGGATAAAAAATGTCAAATTGAGCAAAATGAGACATGGCTAAAATGCATGATCTGTTTGGTATTTTGAAAAAAAAAAAGTATAAATATGCCTTATATAGGTATGGTCCTACACTATATTATTCAAATATAGCATGATAGGTCCACTTTAAGTAATTCCTCATTTCAATTTGTCATATAATTAAGGTTTGGTTCTATGTGTTTGTCTTTAGGAAGTGGAAAATCAAGTCAGCAAGCAGGGAACAGGTGTTGGCAAGCGGGCAGATAGATCATAGATGACCCCGGTGTGACACACGTGGATTTCAGTCTCAGATATCCTTCCTTAAAGGTGAGGTGAGGTGAAGGAAGAGGAGGAGGAGGAGGAGCAAGATGAACAAGCAACAGAAGGCAAGACAGAAGTGAGAAGAAGAGCAGTGGAGAGAAAAAGAAGGACGGTGGAGCAGAGAAGAAGGGTGCTGCTGGGAGATTAGCTGATAAATGAAAATGAAAGCGACTTCAAAATAGTTAGAAATCTTACGGGAAGAAACTACTTTACATGGGGATGTCCTGATAAGTTAGGAGGAAAGGCTGGTCCAATCTATTCTTGTCCTGACCCATCATGGCACCCGTGCTCTGTGAACCTGAAACCCCCCCCCCCCCTTCTATAAAGGGCGGGGGTTGATGTAAGCAGCTTGTGTTGCAATGTTTTAGTAACCGGGGTCATAGCAGACAAAATAATCGACGGCGATTCGGTCATCATCATCATCATCATCTCTCTGTATCTAAGCCTGTTTAACATAGAGAGAACACATGGTGTGCAGACAGAGTTTGAATAACCTCTGCTTAGGAGGTTAGGTCTTTGGCTGTTTATTTGTTTGTCTGTCAGCAGGATTAGATAGAAAACTACTGGCCCCATTCACCACAACCCTTGGTTTGCGGGTGTAGCATGGGCTGAAGATGAACCCATTACATCTGGGAATTGATCTGAATGTCGATGGGAAAATGCAAATGATGTTTTGCTTCTGTTAGCATTGCGAGAGATGGCATATGTGCTGAATTTGTGTCAGAATACATCAGAAAAATGAGTTCACTACTGGGAAAAATGTATTTTACATCCCCTCAAGTCATAAACAACTTAGACACATATCTACGTGTTTTCAAATGTTTTAAACTTCTACTTCTTGGTGTCAGTGTTGTGTCATGCTCATGTTCAGGTTTAATATTGTAGTTTGTGTCTCTACTGTGTCATGTTTACATGATTTCATGTTCAAAAAGCTCTTTATTTCTCTCATACTACCTGTGCTGCAGCACCTCTTTTCACCCTCTGTCTGAAACCAGAGCCCAGCCAGCTCTGTAGTGATTGGTCAACCGCTAAGATGTGTCCCGCAATAGAATCACCAGTGTTAGGTAGTGATGTCACTATGTTCCCGAAGTAAAAAAAGGAATCGAGGTGTTTCAGGCATGAGGGGGAGTTTGTGGGAGAGAACATTTGGGATTTTAACCTTTGCAGACCATTTACATGCACTAAAACCTAAATAACACACTACAGGAAAGGGAAATCCAAAAAAGCATAACAGGGCCTCTTTAAAGCTCATGAACATAGTTGGAATAATAACTTTCTGACTAGGGCTATGGAGCCATCTGAGGAGCACATGGCAGTGGCGATGGTCTGCGCTCTGCATCTGCCATTCTAGTTTTCTTGTTTTTAAAATGTATGTAGAAATATTGAGCACAGATCGATATAGAGCTTATGATATCATCCACCCTCAGAGAACACGAGCAATCTACCACAGGTGAAATGATAACAATGAGCGTGGGCCCTCATGGTGAGTAATACAACAGTTCTTTGCTGAGAATAACACACGCCAAAGATACAGATTACATGTCCAAACACTCAGAATCTTCCATCTCTCAGTTACAAGTCACTTTAAAAGAATTGCCACTGACAGTGACACAAGTGGACAAACATCCTGTTTTGATTTATAAAGAAACATATCCCTCTTTAAAAACCCATCAACATGATTATAATTTATGACTTAAATAACACACTCTGCTCTGCATAATGAGTATTACAAGACTCCGTCACTCCATGTCCCTCTACGGGCCGTAATCTCATAAAAATTGTACTTGGATTGAATTTCTGTCAGCCCCTTTGCAAAAGCAATCAACTGGAGCGTCCGTAAAAAACAAAACACAATTACCCATAAGAGACGGCGCCTTTTAAAGAGTGACCCTGAGAATAACCTTTGACAGGCTCTCTCCCTCCGCACTCGCAAACATATACACAATATTTAAATCAGATGCTTAGTCTGAGCCGTCTCTTTCCCATCTATATTCACTTCCTCCTTCCCGCTACACACACACCCAGACACACACACACACACTAGTCCCCAGAACAACCTAATCTTGTGTGATACAGAACAGCAACTAATACATCCACAGGCCATTTCTGCTTTGACTTGCATTTTCTTACACATCTTAATATCCATGACGCAATTTCATTACCCGTCGGGCTTTAACACAGCCAGTGTAGAGCTGCATCTGTTTTAAGGAGCCTAAGGTAACTAATAAATAAAGAATAAGGCAAGTGAATATGCATTTAAATATGTGGCTCTCAGAGGTAAGGCATTTTGAAAACAGCCGCCTTGCCAGTTAAGCTTCTCCAATGGCCCCCTCTTTTGGCAAGGAGTGGGAGTTGAAGCAATAAACTGCTGACCCAGAGAAGTGGCATGCTGTTGTTTACTACCCTCAAATAATTGTAATTACTAGATAAATGGCGGTGATTGTAATTTTTTTGCTATGTGTTAAGATGGTTTGAGTGGGTACCTGAGAGTCGGTGTTGCTTGGTGCTCACTCGGTTGGTGTTTTGGACGGTGCAGCAGAGGTGGAGCATGGCAAACATGGTGAGGATCATCACCACACTCTGGAGCAGCAGGGTGAGCTCAAACTGCTTCCCTATCCTGCAAGGACGCAACCAAAACAACAATACAAATCAGAGAAACTTTTGGGATACAATATAAATAGACACTATAAGGGTCTAGTATGGCCTTTGCACTAAAAGTAAGACATAACACATACACAAGGCCTGTATACACCCCAGTTACACCCTCATACAACAGTAAACTATTCATTCACCAATATAGGTTTTATTATTACAGGGCATGTCATGGAGGCTTTCAGCGTCACAAAATGACCTTATAAATAATACAATCTTCCAACCCGATTCTGTAAAATATCTATTTAATTCCCTCCTCGGCGCCTCCAGTCAGAACAATGACCTTTGCCCTCTGCTGTGTGAAAAAGCCTTTGTAAAATCTTAAAAGGAACAGTAAAAAGCTCAGATAATATAATTCATCTAGTTTTATTCTGTGATCATATTCCAATTTCATCCATTTTTGACACCAAGACCGATCTAAGGAATGACCTGTGTGCCCTACGAAGAGCAAAAAGAAGAAAGAAGACAGGAAAAAATATAAATGTCAAAATCAGAGGAAATGAAAAGCCTTCCCCTCTGTTGCTCACCAGAAGAAGATGCGCAGGATGTTGGCGATGAGCAGCACGAGGCAGACTCTGGTGGAGAAGCCTTCGCTGTGGTTGCTCCTCTGGATGTCCTGGTACTGGGGCACGTAGGGCAGGGCCCCCCCGAACACCATGAGTAAGGACGCCATCCAGGACAGCAGGGACCACGAGGCCTCCGTGTCCCCACCCTGCAGAAGCTCCTCTCCATCCATCACACCGGGCGCAGCTCAGGGGGTTAGGGGCGCTCCTGAGAGGAAGCAGAATGAAGGAGATGTAATGGATGCTCAGCAGTTAGCCTGATGGATGCTGCGAGGTAGCCAGAGGTCAATAACAGGCCCTGAAGTGAACATTACCCAGGAGTCCATCAGCAATACAATGTATTAAGCTGATTGTTTTAAATACTTCAGGTATGGATTTGATTGTGCCTGTTTTAAATAGCTCTCCTTGCTGAATACAATGTATCCTCTCTATACATACAAAACAATGACTGATGCTATACTCATGTAAACTTCGATGTACAGTATCTTTAGAGAAAATATAATGTTTATGCAACGTCAGTCCTTTTGCTGAAGACTTTTTAGACATATTACTGTAAAACAAACAACAATAAAATGAATTATGGCTTAATTTAGAGCTGGAACAATTAAAAAAACAAAGATAATTGCTAACTATGCCATTAGTATTAGTATTATTATTTCACATTAAAGAATGTTTGAAAATGCTATTTTGGCCTCTCAAATATGTACATTTCCCCCTTTTGTGTGTTTTATATATTATATTAATATTAAACTATATATCTTTGAGTTTTAAACTGACAATTAAATACATTTAAAGACATCATCCTTGGGCTAGGAGACACTGGATTGGACACTTTCCACTATGTAAGTTTTAGATACAAAATTAAGAAAAAAATCTATGAATCCATAAAATAATCAGCAGAACAATGATGAAATGGTTTGATGCAGTCCTAGCTGAATAACATGTAGCTTCAGGTTCCGAGTTCTGCTGATGTGCATGAGGTCACACTGTCATGGCTCACTGACAGACTTATATAGAAAAGAATGTTAATGTTATTAGTAACACCTGTGCTGCTCCTCCTACTGTATGACAAGTCAGAATGACTGCAGTTACACAGTATGGTTACTTTAGATCAGGGTTGTTCAAACAACGGCCCCAGGGCCAACTGTGGCTCATCGGACATCGGCCGATTCAACAAGTATAACGGAATATGGCCTCCACCTGAAACTTGTACTTTTCTTATATTGTGCTTCTTAAATATATATGTAAACAGATATTACACAGTAGTATGTGTGTGTTAATAAGACCACGTTTCAAATGAATTCAGTCAATTAAAGTCCAATAACTCATTTGCATAACAAGCATGAAACAGGCACTTCCTATTTCCCCTCATTATAAACAATCTGAGGCTTCTGTTTTAAGGGATAAGCTGCCAACACTTTAATAACAAATAAATGAAACCCGCTGTGATGTAGGCTGTTTTTTTTCTTAACGCATATTCAATATATAATAATTTACCTACATTGATTGATTTTGCTAACTTATAACTGAACTTATGAGGCAATATACCTCTAGTGAGTGGCCCAGCCCTTCGTATGTTTTTCTGTATGTGGCCTTCACTGAAAAGAGTTTGGACACCCCTGCTTATGATGGTAAATGACTGTTGTGTTCATTCTTGATGTGCTAGAGTCCACAATAGAGAATATAACTATTCTATCTTATCAGTCTTTGAAAGCAGCAGCAACAACAATACAGTATACCGCTTGAGCCTGTGACCGTGTGTTCTGCGGCTTCTGTATTTGTCTAAGTCATCATCTCTTAACGTTTTGAGGTTTAACCGGCCCCTCCAGCATTTCCCTTTTCTTACATTTTATAATGCACTCACATTATTGAGGAAGTATAGATTCCCTTACAGAGCGATTTGCCTTTCAAAACAGTTCCTATTCATTCAATGTTTGATTATTAATTGTCTTATTGATGACATATAACATTTAAAGCTTAAAAAGTTCAAATCAGTTTTGCTTCTTTACCTTTTAAATTCTAATCTATGTAACAAATCGTTAACTTTCACAATTATAGCGTATACAAACATTTTTATATTTCTCTAGCTGTGACCTAAATGCAAGTACAGTGCATGCACAATATGCCTTCATATTAGGGCTGCTCAATTAATCGTATTTTAATCGCAATTACGATTTTGGCTTGCAACGATTATGAAAAGTCTGAAGGGGTGCAGGGGGCACTGCTTCAGACTTTTTATGACTCTGTTGTGGCATCAGCCATTTTCTATGGTGTGGCCTGTTGGGGCAGCAACATCTCGGTTGCTGACGGGAAGAGACTGAACAGACTGGTAAGGAAGGCCAGCTCTGTCCTGGGGAGTCCTCTGGACACTGTGGAGGTGGTGGGAGACAGGAGAGTGGCAGCCAAGCTGTCCTCCCTGCTGGACAATATGTCCCACCCCCTCCAGGACACCCTGTCCTCACTGTGCAGCTCCTTCAGTGACAGGCTGCTGCACCCCACCTGTCACACGGAGAGATACCGCAGGTCCTTCCTTCCTGCAGCGGTCAGACTATACAATCAACACAGCCCCTAGTAGACCCCCCCCTCCCCTACACACACCACAACACAGACTATATCACCCCTTGCTGCTAAATACCAATCAACTATGTGCAATATGTGCTATATGTGCAATATATATATATGCCGTTAATAACTGTGTAATTTATACCTGGCTGCTAATCTTTAGAACCGTTACAAGGTGTGTTTTTTTGCATTTTGTATCTTGTAAATTGTGTAACTTGCTGTAGTTAAATACCATCATACTATGTGCAATATGTGCTATATGTGCAATATATACATTATATACATATGCCATTAATAACTGTGTAATATATACCTGGCTGCTAAATCCTAAGAACTGTTACAGGATTTGTATTTTGGAAAGTATTTTTTTTTTTTTATATTATATTTTTTATTATATCGTAACTTAGTACTTTTTTTTTCTTAACATAGGTAACATTAAGCTGTCTGTGGCTCTTTCCTGCTGTAATGATGCAAATGTCCCCTCCGTGGGACTAATAAAGGTATTCTGATTCTGATTCTGAAAACAACATAATCGAAATAAAACGATTTTATTTTTTTTATTTTTAAAAACAATTTTTTTTATTGGTTTTTCAGTTGAATTATACTTAAAGTTCAGGGTAATCAACTGTTAAAAACATACTGTTCACATTTATTTTTTCAATAAATGGATGTTTTCAAAGTAAATGGATAATCGTTTTTAATAATCGTGATATCAATTATTGACCCAAATAATCGAGATTATGATTTTTGCCATAATCGAGAAGCCCTACTTCATATACTCATGTACACCTGAAGTATACCTATACTGTGTGCTAGTATACAAGAAACACGTTTCCGCAATAGTTTCCATATTTAAAGATTGATAAGTCATATCAGTTTAATTAATACGTTTTTCTCCATTATGATATGTTGGCTGTGCAGGACACATTTGCAACTGGAGCTCGCAAAATAGATTTTTTTTTTACAACTACATTAAGTTGGGTGGTAACGTGGGCTTATACATTTTACAGAAAGGTAGAGGTGTGTGTGTTTTATGTATGAGCAGCCACATAGACAGACAGGGATGACAGGTGTGGAATTTGAAGCTAAATATGTGGAAACCTCCCACAGAGAGGGAACAAGTGGAGTTCAAGAAAAGGTCAAACAGACAGTATCCTGAGAAGGCAGAGATGACAGGCAGGTGTGACAGCTGAGTGGGTGGGAGGGGTGGGAGGGGTGGGGGAGATAACAAAAAGCGAGTCTAGCTATAAAATAACTGTCAACTATTTTTGTATTTCCTAAAATAAAAATAAACTTATACTACTACTTGGAAAGAACAGAAGACATTAAAAAGAAAGATTCCTACTTATTCTTAGTAGTAATCAAACAAATTACAAGGAATTGGTAATCACCACTATAAATGGAAGAACCATTTAGATATGGAATGAAAAAATAACCAGGAGAATCAAGTTCATGTCTTTGCAAATGGGAAAGTGGCTAAAGTAAGCAACAACAAACATTGCTTTTGATACTTCAATTAGATATCACAATTATCGAACTTATGATAATTTATGATAAATCTGTTATCTGTTAACTAGGTCCAGTAAATTATTTATCTGTTTTTCTTCTTTTTGGGTTGTATTTATGTATTTAGGTTTTAACTGTGTTTCATTTTGTTGTGTATGCCCTTAAACCCTATCATCTCTTTAAAAAGTATTATGACTATTCCGTGTCTCCTCCTGCTAACTGACTTCTTTCTGAAAACTCACCACAGGTCCTCACACACAATTAATGCCCTGTGTGCAGCATAACTAGTTCAGCTACTTGGCTACTCTAATCTTTAAAATAGTGACGTTTTGTGCTAGCCAGCATTCTTAAAGGGATAATAACATAAAGGTTACTAATTCCCTCTTTCTCCAGGGAACTCTAGAGAACAAATATAATGATTCATTACATTTTAGAGAATGTGATACGGACAAAAAACTCTTGCTGCTGTACACAAAAGCATGACCTACAACTTCTGAGCAAATACTGATAAATGTGTTACTCTTCAGGTCACTTAATAGTATGGTTGCCATTGACACATCTATACCAGAGGGCCAACAAGAATATAAACTCCTTGGCTCAAATATATGTTTGGCATTTTAAGCTGACAAGTCACTGGGTAAAGCTTAGAGGGCCAGTCAATGCACCAGGAAGTTATTTAGTCATGACAATCAAATAAAGTCAGCAGCAGGTTTAATGATGGTATTTCTTTTACATACTTGGTTTATGATAGCTGAGAAAAAGGTTATTTCAACATGACAGGAGATAGAGCGTACATGGAGCACCGAGAGTCACCCAGAAAATGATCAGGGTCTGATAACTCATTAGACATATTATATTTCTCATAACTCAGCTGTAAGTAAGGACAGAAATAAGGACATACCTCACTGCTGGAGGAGAAGCCAGTTCAAGTTATAAACTCCCACAACACATTTACAACTAGTATACAGTTACAGCTATGAAATGCAGTAACATCTTGTCTATCCAGGGTGAATAAGGCTAGTAAACACATTGGTCAGTTTATTTGAAAATAAATGTCAGAGCAAGATGAGTTGTAATGTTTATTCACTTCATCTGATAAATATAAAAAATTTCCCTTTATTAATTGTCCCCTTGCCTCATGTCATTTTGAAAAAAGCTATGAAAGTTAATGCTAGGTCAATGCCATTGGAACACAGCCTATAACAAGTTTGTTTTTATAGGTTTCCTACAGTTAAACATTACTCAAGTATTTAACAATCCAAGGTGTCTTCAGCAATTTCCTTCCTTGGGTTGTGTAAGTAAACCATCACACACACACACACACACACACACACACACACACACACAGAGTGTAAAGTAAATATGTTGGGCCACTTCTAGTAAGAGGACATACTGTTATGCAAGATAAGCATAGCTTCATGGGGTTGGGTCACTGACATGCCTGAACATACAGGCATCATTTTTGGGCTACTGGGCAACAACAGTAACATCACACAAAGAAGCAGCTGTTACACCGTCTGTTTACACTGTTGTAGACTCATGAGTACACAGAGGAGATTAAACATGTGAACGCTAATGCCAAACGTACAGAATCATTTTTGTATTTAAAAAGCGCGCTTACAGCTCGCGCGATGTATCGCTCCTGATATAGATTTTAAGTCAAAGTAGCATCATTTGAGTTTTAACGTGTTATGGGTAAACCGTGGACTACTTCTAACTTTACTCACCAGTCGTCTTTATTCACTTTCCTTCGTCTTTTAAAAACACAAACAGTCACAATGATGTTTCAGCGTCAAAACACATTGTGTTCCCTGGCAGCTCCAACTATCAAATCCCAACTCGATCTCAAGAGAGGAGGCGAAAGGTGCACGCGCATGCAGGCATACAAACACACGCGCGCACGGATACTTTTAGACTTTCCAAATGTAAGTATGAAACATGAAAGTCGTTAGGTCACCTAATGAGATGCTGCCTCTGGTAAACCAAGTGCGTTGAATGAGTGGCGCATTTGTTTCCTTGGGGGCCATAAGGGGTTAAACACAACTACTATTTTATTGTATTGCTTCATTTAATACTCAATGTTCCACATTTCTTAGCGGCCACACAGCTCTCGCGAGACTCTGTGTTATGTAGAACAGCTGACTGTGCTGGGTGGTGCTATCGAGGGAGGGCTACCTATTTCGAACTGTTACAAGCTTGATATATCCATAATCGCTAAACAGCATTTTCAGTTCTACTACGGTTTAGACATTGATAATAACTTCCACCACAACATGGCTGAGACGGACCCCAAGTCGGTGCAGGACCTTACCAATGTGGTGAGTCGAGAGCGTAATGACACGCTAGCGTTAGCTACAGGAGCATAGCTAGCAAAAGCAATAAGAATGCTAACGGTGGACAGTTAACGTTAGCTGTTTGCATCAGCTGTATAGTGCATCCGTAGCCTTTAGTGTTATTAATGTTTTTTTAAATAAAATAGATTCATGGGTTCGGTTTGCTCAACTTGTTTACTGAAGCCAGCATGTTTTGTTTAGCACGTTATATAACGTGAATGGTCAGTTGGGCTTTTACATGACATCATCAAATCACAACCGAACAAACTGCATTGCTATACACAACAGAAGTGTTGCTGCCGTGTGATTCTTCTTTAAAGAGGCTTGTTTTAATAAATGTATATTTTAAGCATTAAGAATATTGTGCAGTATCACTCACAGATATAGCACAATGCATTGTTCTAGATGAATTCTACCTGTTCATTATAATTGGGTAATGTTTCCTAGTGTTGTCATGGAGATAATGTAGAAAAGTCGTTAAACTTCAGTTAACCTCCCAAACATGTATCAATCCCCTGTGGTATTTATGTCTTTTATACACATTTGTGTTCTAATACTTTTGTTTTAAAACCATCTTCAAGGACGCCCAGTTACTCTAGATTTAGTTGTGTTTTTTATGAACCTTCAATGTATCATTCTGCCTCAGGGTACCTCTTAACCAAACGTTTTTGACATATGAAGAATAAAACAAGTGAAAAATAAACTGTTGACCGGTGTATACTTAAGAAACCACCATCAGAGAACCCCATATAATGATGAACACCAATGCAGAGCAGTATGAACTTATTGTGAGTTCATTGTTCTGCACATATGCTTATCACACTGGATTAAATAATCATCTCCCGTGGTTACTGAGATTTTACATTGTTGTCAAGGAAACTAGTTACTTTCAATGTCCTTTTTTAAACCATTCATAGATATGGTGCATTAGAGTGGGAGTGCTGATGTTTGTCACTGGCAGAGCTATTGTTAATAATGAATAGTCAGCTGACAGCAATATTATTTATATCTGCTCAATTGTGTCATGAAACTGGTACGTCTGATGTGTGGCTGCCATCAGTGAACCTACTTTACTCACTAGATACATTTGTGTGGCTTATTGTTTCACTGACATGATTTCTGTGTGCTCGTTTCCCAGGTCCAGACACTGCTGCAACAGATGCAGGACAAGTTCCAGACCATGTCAGACCAGATAATCGGAAGGAATATCCTTACTAATAAAACAAATGAAATAAGAGTTAATTGATTTAAATGCACTGGTCAATCTAATATGGTAATGGTTCATGGCTTAATGGTAGATGTACAGCAGGGCTATTCAATTAGTTTGGAATGGGGGCCGGTTGATGAAAATGATCCAAAGCAAGGGGCCGGGAAAAAGATGGCTTGAAATATGAGCAATCATATTTAAGAGCTTCAGATACAGTAAATACTACAACAGCATAGTGGAGTGCATATATTGTGTTTAATTCAATCAAACAACATAGCCCCAAGGCCTTTATAGATCTAAATGGCAAGTTCAGAACTCAGTAGGCCTACATGTTTCATTTGATTTCATTTAGGTGAAATGATCTAATCATTCACACAGAGATGCAATCAATGACAGGAGTTGTCACTACAGTATAGTAGGTGGGTTCGAAACCCGAGCCTGTCGAAGTTTTCAGGCATTGTCTACCCCTCTATCTCTCAATGTAACACCCTCTCTGGAATAAAGGCACTATGGCACAAAAAAAAAAAAAAATTGATGACTTTTTAACATTATACTCAAAGGGCCAGTAAATATCACCCCGGGGCCGGATTTGGCCCGCGGGCCGCCAATTGAATAGCCCTCATGTACAGACTGAAGTAAAACCCAACTTTGCCTATATAACAGTAACTTTGTGTTTTTGAGTAAGTTGTCTACCTTAACTGTTTCTCCACTTGATGAGATGAGCACGCGTATTGATGATTTGGAGAAGAACATCTCCGACCTGATGACCCAGGCTGGAGTTGAAGAGATTGAGGCGGCACCGGAAAAGCCTAAAGATGGTCAAGGCTCCTAATGAAGGTGAACCCAGCTAGCATTTCAAACTGAGAAAAAAACAGTTCACACCGATGGCTTTTATTCATGCCCCTCTTTCCCCTCGACTCATGCATCTTAAATGGGACAGTTCGCACCAAAATGAAAATAACATGTTTTACTCTTACTTGTTTATCAATTTAGATTGACTTTTTTTAATAATGCAAATAGAATTGCTAAATGCGCTAAAACAATAATATTGAAAAGTTGTTTCTTCAGAGATCATATTATATTTGGAAGATTGGATGAGTTTTAAATGTTATTAAGGAGTTTGTTTTTGCCAGATTTAAAACGTGGCAAAATGCAGGCTCATGCGATTTTAGTTGAATTAACTTCCTGCATTCCTTTAAACCAGTTCACTAAATGCACCTTTGTTTGTCTGTCCGCAGGTTCCTAAGTAACACGGAGTGAAGTCTACAGGAGACTTTTTCCATTTTGAAAATTGACTAATATTGATTTGGCGTGTCGTTGTGTGAAATGCTTTTTTATATATGGATTATTGTGATAAACGGTTACAGTTATGAAATGACTTGAAAAGTTATTCGTAAACTAGAATAGTGTGATATGCCCTTCAGAACTTTAAACGCTCACGTGCAGAAATGCAACTTCGGGATTTTTTTGTGCACTGGCCCCAGAGGTTATTAGATCATATATCTTAGATAGATAAATCCCATGAAGCGATGGCTGATGGGAATGTTTTGCCTGGGCTGGGAAGTACAACATGCAGGCCAGTGGAACCTCCATCTGTACCAACATGGGCGCAGTGAACATCTGAAGCCTGGAGAGTTAACAGAGCACTGTTAGTACCAGGGTGTGGGATGCATTCCAATTTCAGCTGATTTTCTTCTATTAAAGCTATTTAATACAATGCTGTCTGTCATGTATTACATAATTAATATTTGACAAGGTGCTGAGTGAATTTTTAAAAATATTAACTCCTAGGTGCTCAGTGTTTTTCTGTATTTATTTTTTTAAGCCAGAGTTGTATTTTATCATGCAAGTGATCTGGAATGTCTCATGTTAGCATGTTTGTTTTGGGTCTATAATGTGTTGAAATGCAATTCATTATTACACTAAACTAAGCTGGAAAATTGTGAAGTTACCTTCTTAACAGGATGTTTCTAACTGACCATGATCGTGCACCAAATTAGAAGTATTTGCAGAAATGTCCACTGAAGAGAGTGTCACTTTACTGTGCAGTAGGAACCTTTATTCAAATTGGTGAAAACAATGTACAAAGAAAACAAGCAACAGAACTAAGTGCCAAAAGCATTAGACAAATGCACAGCTGTAAACGAAACGTGTCACACTATCACATGAAGTCTCCAGTAATTTCATATGAATGCAATATTAAAGTTCTGTATGTATTACACAGTCATTGGTTCCTTATCTGCAATAACCATCATCTAGTGAGACTGGGGTTTTTAGAGGCTTAAAGTTAGAACTCAAAGTCCGCCTCCGTCATGTCGAGGGCCCAGGCAAACTTGTCCCTCTGGCTCTTATTGTAGATTTTATCTACGGGTACGACCATGTTGCGACACCTGAAAAAATATAAGATTGTTTAGCATACTCACTGCAAAATAAATACAGCTGAAATCACCACTTAGTCTTCGAAGGTGTCAAAATCATTGTTTCTTAATCTTGCATAAAGTTATACAAATGGAATGTATAAATACTTCAAACACTTTATATTTTATATTCATTTGGTTCATGTGTGTATGGCAAAGAAATTAGTTACACAAGTGCTTTTCCTGTGTTTGAAGATGACCAAACTAATGTAATGGAAAAATTAAAAAGACATTTCGACCATAGCTTTAAATAAAATTACTTCAGCTTTGAGGCTAGAGGGGAAAACAATGTAGTTGGTATTGTTAAGAAAAATTAAATTAAATTCCATATGACAAATTATATATGTGGTATATTTATACTAGATCTCTACTGCAGAAATGTCTTATAATACTTTAACTTAATCTATAGAACATATTACGTTGTCTCACGATCTGTTTTAAAGCCAGAGTAGAAAAAGTGTCATACTACAAAGAAATGTATTTTAGCTGTTATTATATATCATGGAAGTCACAGCAAGGCTAATGATCTGTAAACTCATTGTTCCAATTTTGTTATTACTAGACTATAAATGCTTTGCTGCTGTCTCATTGGTCGTTCTTAAGGAGCCAATCAGAGTTATTCCAGAAAGACAGGTTAGTTAGAAGTTGGTTTGTGTACATATTTGGTCAGAAAATGGAACTCAGCTTAAGATGGAGGTTTACAGTGATTAAAAGCAACCATCTTCACTGGACTGGAAAACCCAAATATCTGGCTGACCAATAAGCTTGCTTGGTGAAACAGGCTAGGAAAGAGGTGGTTTGATTTGAAAACCCGCCTTTGTCTTAACGTACGCTGACAGGTGCAGGACTTTAGACAGCGACTATGGGCAACCCAGTTGTTTATAGTGACCGTGTCACTGTTCACTCACCAAGCCACGCTGATGCGGGGGTCCAGGTAGTTCAGCTTGGAGGTGCCCAGTGCGATCTGCTTGTTTTCCTCTTTGTCAGTCGCCTGCAACTCCATCTTCAGCAGCATCTCCTCACAGCGCTGCACCGCCGCCATCTTCTTCTCCACCAGCCTGACAGGAAACAAAAGGAAGGTGCGACACAGTCAGACACCTCTGGTTAGGGGTGCATACCGGTACCCAGATCCGTTTTTGATACTTTTATTTTTTTATTTTATTTAATTTTTTATAAAAGTGAGGTGAAATGTAATTAAAAGAATCTACCCTATGCATAAACGAAACCTCAATCATAGCGAACAAATATGTTTTTTTTTTACCGCAAGCCGTCATCGCCACGGAGGAGCACACAGCCTCTGTGAGCGAGCCAGACAGAGAGAGAGAGAGAGAGAGCACACCTTTATCTATTTAATATATATCATATATAAATAAAGTAAGAAATCATTCCAATGTGTACTATAGGACAGTAAAAAAAACAGTTAAAAAGGGGAGTGAGTAAAATATGCATAAATAAAAAGACAGAATGCTAACTAGGTAAGATAAGATAAGAATAAACCAGTTTAAATGATTTGTTATTGGTGATCATATTCTAAAGATGTTTGGATTATTGAAAAGTATACAGCTCCCTTTCATCTGAGTGTTGAGAGCTGTATCCATAAATTCATGTTGTGCTCAAAGTGCACCAGATTGATGCATTTGAGGGGGGGGGGGGGGGGGGGTGACTTTACTGGCAATGATCCGGACCAGTGACCTAGTATAAAGTTCACAAGTGGACCTTTAATAAAAAAGTTTGAGTACCCCTGCCCTAGAGGATGTGAGGACCCCCCTAGAGGAGGTGAGGACCCCCCGAGAGGATGTGAGGTCCACCCCCAAATAAAGCAGGTTAAAATAATTAAATTGAATACATTTTATTTTAGTAAACACTGAAAACGGGTCCCACAGACCCAAACAGCACACAAAGGTTAAAGGTCAGCATATCATAATGTTAAAATGTGCTAAATATATACACTGCAAAAAACAAAAAAAAGAGGAGTAAAAGTAGCCCCCGACTTGTTTTATTTTTTGAAAGTAGCTCTCATCCTAAAAAAGGTTGGAGACCCCTGCTCTACACGTATCCTTTTTTCTTGTCAACGTGCATGCAGCAGAACCAAGTTTCTTTTTTCTAAGTGCCACTCAATCCTACATCATGTTGTGAAGTAAACACACATTGTGTATTAAAAGGCGATACACAGAAAGGCCGTTCCATTGAGGAAGTCTTACACTGTAGCGTCAAACTAAAAGTGTTTGTATTTGCCTTTTGGCTCGAGGCACAAAGACTAAAGAATTAAGGGCAGAGGAGGTGGTTGCACATTATATATCTTTGACCTGTAGCTCATTATTCACTGTGAAGCAGTTATTCTTTGTTGTTTGGAGGCACGAAACTTTCTACAAGTAACTCTTGTTTATTTCTAATAGTTTTAATGTCCATATCTTGCTGCTCTTTCAGCCCTTTGGGACACTTACGGCTGCGGTTTGGGTTCTGGGCTGCCTTTGGTCTTGGCCTCCTTCTTGGCCTGTTTCAACTCTGTCTTTGCGAGGGACAGCTTCTCCTTTCGGGCATCGATCTGAATGGACAGATGATAACAAAAGCGTATTTCTATACATGGATCACTGTAAGTATCAACATTTCACTGCCTCGGTGATAGAGATTATTTTAAAATGGCGTCAGGGTCATGATATCATCCTGCCCGGTAAAGGTTAATGTGATGAATGAGTGTGTCTCATAAACCTACCTTGGCCTGAAGGTTAGCCATAGACTGATCGAAGGTCTTTGGCGCCGCCCGCTGATGGTTACACAGAATTGCAACTGCTCTGTTGGCTCTGTTGTAAGAGAGCAGTTTCTCCGGCTCATTGTCGGACTCTTTAAAAAGGGGACAGAAGAGTCATTTGTATTTTTACAAGAACAATCCACTGAGAATGAATATCTGACCAGAATTACACACGGTCATTTAAAAGATGAAATCACGCTGGTGTCCCTGTTGTAATGAATGCTCATCAGCAATCTGCACCACAAATCGACCAAGACCTTGAACACATGCAATTACAGTTTGCTGCTTTTTCATTTCATTTAGTCCCATCCCTATAAGCCTCATCTCTTCTCTGTGGGATCCACACACCACATGCCATCCTGCAGATTGGCTCTCAGTGGCAGTCTAGAAATGAGAGGGGAGAGTGTGACACTTCTATCTCCGATTGAGAAACGGTGGCAGGGGCAGCCAATGGGACCCTGATAAGAGCGAGGCAGAGGCGCAGCACTGGGAGCAGAGATAATGTTCTCCTGCCAGGGCCCCGGAAAGCCAACTGACACGAGGATATCGGGAGTCAAGCAAGCTAAAAATAAGAAATGTCAAAAGCGTGGCAGTTTTATCACGGGGCTCCATGACACAAGCAGTGATGTAATGAGACAATGATGAGGGCCAGACTGATAGAAGGCTATAGTATTAAAGATACTGATGGATTTGATTGAGATGTGAGCATTATCACAGTTTCATAAAAGACAATTGTCATTAAAAACACGGAGATAATTTGCTGTTACAATTTGATGTCAATAAAATAACATAAAATCTTTCTATCAATTCTATACTGCTGTAGCTACACTTGCTATTTTAGGTGCGTTCACACCGACACATATAGAAACATGCAGTGCACTATGTCTGGATATTGAACTCGTAGTGCTCCAAAAGTTGCATGTGGAAAGTGGGACACTTCCACATGCAACTTCTTCCCCCCCCCCCCCCACCCTCCACTCAATGGTCGCAATCTTGGCTAAATACCAAAAATGAGGTCTGAGGAAGCTAAAGCAATTGCGGTCACTCTAGTAAACCACGCAGTACAGTTTAAACAACCGTGAGCAAAACAAGTCGTCTGATATTTTGGTGGACGGAAATCATTGCAGTTATCGCAATAATGATTCATCCGATTGACATTTCACATTAACAAGAAAAACTATAATTTTGAGATTGACATTTTCAATGATTGCACAAAAGTTGTGATTTTCCCCAATACTATCTCATTGCAAATCCTGCACTATGCAATAAAGTGCTTTGTGTACAATGTGCACTACATGTAACTAACTCAAGTTTCAATTGAGAAACAGCATGAGAATAGACCCAACATTGACAATGCAACTAAAGACCAAAGAGTAGAGTACATTTTTGAACATAAAAGCATGGAAACATGTCACAGTAGAGGCACAAAATACAAATATGAATCAGAAAATGTGCAGATTATGTCCTCTTTGAGCCGAAATAACCCATGTTGCTGCTTAGGAATATTAAACTGAGATTTTAAGAGCTATGAGTGTAATGTTACATGGCATA